GGTGTCCCCAGGCAGCTCAGCCTACCCCGCCCCCAGGAAGCAAAGCCATGAGCCCCAGTTGCCGGAGACAGGGCAGGGCTGCCCATGCCCGGGACACCAGGACCGGACGCCCACTGGTGAGTGCCTACATGGTGTGGCCGGCAATCAGGCCTGGGGGAGGGGCTGGTGACTGGCTAATGTTGGGGACCGGCTAATGGCCCTGGGGGGAGAGGGCTGGTGTGTGGCTGATGCAGGGAGGGCTGTAAGTGTCTCTCTAGCAGCCATGGGGATGAAGGAGCTGGTAGTGGCTAAGAGGGGGTGGGTGGCTATTAGCCATGGTGGCAGGGGGCTAGTGTGTGGTGATGAGGGAGGATTTAACAGCCAGGGGGTGGGGCCTGCCTTTCACCCTGGCAGCTCTCCTCTCTCCAGAGATACAGGGCCCTAGGGACGAGGTTCCCTGGCGAGATGCCTCCGGCTCCTGCAACTCCCTGCGCCAGTCCCACCGGGCCGAGCTGCCAGGCCCTCCAACACCCCTGCACACCAGCAGCCCAGTGCAGAGCAAAGACAGGTGCGTACAGCAGCCTGCTCAGGGTGGGGGGTTATGGGACCACCCCATGGGGAGAGCTGGCTCCATCCTGCCCAGCCATACTGAGTGGGGAGGCATAGCAAGGCCCAGTGGCACGGGGATCCTAGGGGCAGGAGGGATCTCCCCACACACCATCAAAGAAGACCAGCTTCCCTGCCAGCCCCCCACATCCCATGGGGAGGGAATCAATGCCCCTGGTACCAGGTCATTGCTCCCGTAGACAAGCTGTCCCGGGGTGGAAGCTCCCAGCCCCTAGAAACAGCCTAGAGGGCTCCTGGGGATCCTGCTGCCCTGGCACAAGCTTCTTCCCTGCAGGTTCTCCGGGCCCTTTGATGGGGGGACTGTACCATGCCCTGGCTGGTGCCTAGGGTGATACTGAGGGTGCCCGCTCTGATTCCACAGCCCAGCGATGCCCAAAGGCGACACTCCATCTGAAAGCCTGCAGGGGAGCTCGGCGTCTTCTAGCCCTGAGGCCAATGCCCTAGCCAGTCCCAAGAGGACTCCAGAGATGAGTGCAGCCCTGCCGGGCGCTGTACCCAGCTCCATGCAGCCCCCTTCCCCCATACAGGCATGTGCCCACAGAACTGGCTCCCACATCCAGTCCAATGGGCCAGCCCCGAGGCAGCCATGTGTCCGAGCCCACAGCCCAGCCAGCCCACCCCCTGGCACCAGCCTATCTAGGGTGAACTTGGGCGAAGCCCTAGGTCACCTGAATGGCCACAGCTGCCCAGCAGTGTCCCCCGATCCGCCTCCCAGCAATGGCTCCCCGGCGCACCTGCTGCTCCCTGGGATGGCCAGGCTGCCCCAGCGCAGCCCCCCGGGCACGCCTGTGCACAGCCCAGCCTGTGCCGGGTGCAGAGCAACGACAACGCTCAGGAACCCAGCCCCCTGCAATGGGCACCTGCCCAGTGAGAGAGCTGAGCTGGCCCCAGGCACCCTAGCCCACTGCCCCAATGTCAGCCCCCTCCCAAGCCCCCTCAGCATGCAGCTGCCAACCCCTGGGGGCAGTCAGGCCTGCCCCCCCGACTTGCAGTGCTCCCCGACCCCCGCCTTCCCCATCGCTACAGTCTTCTACGCAGGCGGGGAGAAGAGCCCGCCTCCCCCAGGCTCCCCTAGCCAGGGCCATGCCCGCAACGCACTGCAGCAGCCACCGTTGCCTGAGAAGCGCCACACGCCAGTGGCTGGCAACTGGGAGAGGAGCTCGCCACCAGGACGGGGCACAGGGACCAACCACCACGTCACCTTCGCACCCGACGCCGCCAGGCCGGACTCAGGTTGGGGACCAACTGCACTGCGAGGGCGGAAGGACAGGGCAGGCCTGGCACCAGGGGGCCTTTTTAATTTTCCAGCCCAGAGAGTGAGGGTCTGAGCTGCCCCCAAACTAGCGCTCCTGCCCCACTCTGCACAGCGCCCCCTGCTGGGAGAGGCTGGGCTGGGCTGGCTAGGAGCCCCACCCCCCACAGCCAGCGTTCCTGCCCCACTCTGCACAGCGCCCCCTGCTGGGAGAGGCTGGGCTGGACTAGCCAGGAGCCATCTACATCTCCATTGTGGCAAATATCAGGCCCGACCCCTTAGCACTGGAAGGATTTGCTAAGCCAGTTGCTGGGCCAGGGCATTTGTTTTTCTTCCAGTGTTTCTCGGTTCTGTATAAAGCAGCTAGGCAGGAAAACACGAGGCACTGACGCCAGGAGACAGCCCCCAGATTAGTAGGTGTCCCCTTGAAACATGAGCACACTTTTCTTTCACGCGTGTAACCCGATGCCTGCCATTCCCTTTCAGACACGCCGCCAGAGAGCCACAGCAGTGTCCAGTTTGTCCAGGATACATCCAAGTTCTGGTATAAACCCAACCTGTCCCGGGACCAAGGTACCGTGGGCGGGGGGGCACTTGATTCAGTTCCCAGGGGTTGGTTGGATTTGGCTGCAGCCATTTTATTTTGGAAAAACCTTTTCCTGGGGCTCTTCTCCTGCGTTTAGCTTTCAGGCTGACACTACAACCCAGAGGGCCAAAGCCCACCTGCTCTAACCACTAGACCAGTGTGTTCCCTGTGAGCTGAGCGCTTGGGCAGCTGCCCAGGAGAGATTCAAGAGCCACTAAGCTGATTAGCAGAGGGCCCACAGCCAGCAGCATGTGTTTCTACTGGTGGTGCACATTGTACATGCCTCAGTGCACATAACTAAATTATGCCACACATGCATGGAAAACGTTAGTGGGAACATTTCATTAGAGCCCTGTATCTTTCCAGAAGCAGGGCTAGAATCTAGGAGACTGACCGCCAGCACCCTTGCTCTAATCACTGTCCCACCCTCCCATCTCACAATTGGGCATAGAAACCTGGAGTCCTGGCTCTTAACCGCCTGCCCAACTGGTAAGCTGCACCCTGGGCTGGAGATAGCCCATCGGATCATCCAGTGCACCAGAGGCATTCTCTGAGCTTGGCTGCTGGGCACTCCAGATAGTCTGTCTGGAAGGGCAGGCTGGGACATAGACTCCAAGTCCATCCAGGCCAGGCCCGTGCAGCGGGCACCACCTGGGCATAAGCTGAACCCACGTGGGGCAGGTGGCAGCATGCCCCCCCAGCATGGCACAGCTTCTTCTCTCCCGAGCAGCCATTGCCCTGCTGAAGGACAAGGAGCCCGGCTGCTTCCTCATCCGTGACAGCAACTCCTTCCAAGGCGCCTACGGGCTGGCTCTCAAAGTAACAACCCCCCCGGCCATAGCTGCAGGGAGAGTGACGGAGCAGATCTCAATGCATATCAGTGTCTTCATCCGCATTTTGCAAAGAGGGAAACTGAGGCATGGAGTGGGGAAGGGACCTGCCCAGTGAGCCTGTGCCAGAGCTGGGAAGAGAACCCAGGAGCCCTGTCTTCCAGCCCAACCCCCAGCTCTAGCCACTAGCCCCCTCTTCCCTCCCAGAGCCAGGCACAGACTCGTAGGCGACGTCTAGACTACTCGCCCTGTCGGCAGAGGGATGTAAATGAAGCACTTCGAAAGTGCAAATGAAGCCGGGATTTAAATATCCCGCGCTTCATTTGCATAATCACGTAATGGCGCTCTTTCGAAAAAGCGCTATTTCGAAATTGAAACAGCAGTCTAGACGTGGTTCTTTATCTTCGAAAAAGCACGCCATTTTCGAATGAACTGTGTTTAGACTACGGTTTCAATTTCGAAATAGCGCTTTTTCGAAAGAGCGCCATTACGTGATTATGCAAATGAAGCGCGGGATATTTAAATCCCGGCTTCATTTGCACTTTCGAAGTGCTTCATTTACATCCCTCTGCCGACAGGGGGTGTAGTCTAGACGTAGCCTAGGGGTCCTGACTGCCAGCCCCTCGGACCCCTGCTCTGACCACTAGGAGCTGGTGCCCACCCCATTGCCAGGCTGCTCCCAGCCCCGAGGAGGAGGCAGGGTGTGGGGCTTTGGGGAGGGGTGTGGGTCTGGGGTGAGAGTCTTTCACCTGGTTCCCTGCCCCAGGTGACCCCATGGAGCAGCTGGTGCGTCACTTCCTGATTGAGACCGGCCCCAAGGGGGTGAAGATCAAGGGCTGTCAGAACGAGCCCTACTTTGGTGAGTGACAGGGGCACGGGGACTCCCCCACCTCCATCCACTCCCCTGCCCACCCTGCAGCCGAGCCCGGACGTGTTGGTCACCCCGTGGGCAGAGCAACTGGCACCCAGATCCCTATTCCCAAGTTCAAAATTAGCATGCCCCTTCCGAAGAAGGGACCAGTGTAGACGTAGCCCTTTTGTTTCATTACTTTTAAAGCTATGCACATTTAAAGGAAAGACAACCAAGCATGCATTTTGTCTGGTCATTTTTTAAAAACACATTTTTGTCTGTTAATTTTTAAAGGGGCAGGTGCCAGAGAAAGGGGCTGACTGTGGGGGGATGGGACAGTTGGGGGTGTGGGGCCGGGGTGGAAGCAGGCGCCAGGGACGGGGACTGGAGCAGGAGCAGCTGACTGTGTGTGTGCCCTGCAGGAAGCCTGCCTGCCCTGGTCTCACAGCACTCCATCACCCCCATCTCCCTGCCCTGCAAGCTCCGGATCCCCAACCGAGGTATGTACGGGAGAGGGGGTGCCCCAGCCCAGCCTCCGGAGAGCTCTCAGCCCCGGGGGGCCCTGCGCACAGCAGCCCTAGCCCCAGGGAGGGGGCAGCTCCACCACCATGCACACCCCTCTGCCAGGGTAGAGGGAGGCTCCACCCTAATTGCATTCTCCCCATTCTCCCCAAGGGAGGTTTGTGTCCTGCCTGCTTCCTTCAGCCCTGGCCCTGCTGGGGATGCGCGGGGCTCAGGCCGGTACCCGACTGCTTGGCCGTGGCCATAGGTGCAGGGCCTGTCTGCTCTGTGAGGGCAGCACAAATCCCCCCAAACACGAGCTTGGTCTGTGGCCACATCCCTGCCACCAAGTCAGGCCGCCCAGATGTGACCCCAGGTGTCCTGGTGCCCAGTACGCCTCTGGCAGAGCTGGGAATGGAACTCAGGAGTCCTGACTCCCAACACTCGCCCCTCCCCCACTCTACCCACTAGGCCTAGGCTGGGAAGGGAACCCAGGCATCCTTGCTGTAGCCACTCGCCACACTACCTCTGTGTCCTTCTCTGGCTCAGATCCCCTGGAGGAGACCCCGGACGTGGCCATCCCCACCAACATGAGCACGGCAGCCGATTTGCTGAAGCAGGGGGCGGGTAGGTAGGGTGGGCCAAGTGGAGGGGTGGGGCTGGCTGCAGTGGCAGGGGAGTCCTAGAAGACACCCACCTGCCCTCTCAGCACAGAGCCAAACTAGAATGGGGCACTGAAGCTTCATGCCCACCTACCCTGGCAGTAATAGGTGGCCTGACTGGGAGACCTAGACTGGGGTAGGCAGGTCTGTCCCCTGGGGTCTGCAACAGAGGGCCTGGGGTGGGGGTCACTGTCCCCAGAGGGGTGGGGGCCAGAAGGAGCTGGGGGTCAAGGTTGGGACCAGCTGGCTCCCTAATCAGACCTGTGGGGGTGGGCAGAGGAGGCCGGCTGGTCTGAGGCTGGGGACATGATGCTGTCTCGGCACGACTGAGGCAGGGGGAAGGGGAACAAAGGCCCTGGGACAGCACCCGGCTCTGACGCCTCGTCGTTCGCCCAGCCTGCAGTGTGCTCTACCTCAGCTCCGTGGAGACCGAGTCGCTGACGGGCCCCCAAGCCATCCCCCAGGCAGCCGCCAGCACGCTCAGCTGCAGCCCCCGCCCACCCGCCTGCCTCGTGCACTTCAAGGTCTCGGCCCAGGGCATCACCCTGACGGACTATCAGAGGAAGTAAGTAACCCCCCCTCCACAGGGGCACATGCCACCCTCTCCCGATGGGCATGCCACGCCCAGCCGCCTATGGAGCAGTCCCACTGGGCATGCACATGCTCCCTTCTCCTGCCCTGGTCTATAGGGAGAGCTCCCAAGGCTCTGCCGCTGCCTCAGCCCTGCACTTTAGACGGCAACCCTTCCACCCGCTGCCTGCCATGGGGCATCAGGCCCCACTCCCCTCCCACGTGCACTGCCCCGATGCCCCTACACCGCAGACAATCCTTGAGGCCCCTCCTCCCATCCTCACGCGAGGGCCTGGGCTGCTTCCCCCAGGCCCTGCACTAAAACACTGTCATTGCATTGCTCTGGCAGGCTGTTCTTCCGGCGCCATTACCCTGTGAACAGCATCACCTTCTGCAGCACCGACCCACAGGACAGGAGGTAATGGGCACTTACACACCCAAACAGTGGGTTCTGGGAGCACCCTCCCTCCTCCTCACAGCGCCCCCTGCTGGGAGAGGGTGGGCTGGAATAGCTGGGAGGCTTCCTCACAGCGCCCCCTGCTGGGAGAGGGTGGGCTGGAATAGCAGGGAGGTTCTCCACACAGCGCCCCCTGCTGGGAAAGGCTGAGCTGGAATAGCTGGGAGGCTTCCCTGCAGGGCCCCCTGCTGGGCAGGGCTGGGCTGGAATAGCCGGGAGGCTCCCCACACACCGG